ACTTTTTCTACAACATAACTCTTATAAAACCCTATATATATATATATATATATATATATATATATATATATATATATATATATGAAAAATATTTTCTCATGTTACATGAGAATTGAATTCTCGTATTGATTGAATTCTCGTATTGTGATTCTTCGACTTGCGTGCAAAGATTTTCTTTTTTAATAAATCTGGGACCCACCACTAGTTGAGTCACAATATGAGAATTCAATTCTCATGCAACATGAGAAAATCAAAGCCTATATATATATATAAGGAAATGATCCGTTTACAAACTTTTTTTTTTATAAATTTTTGCAAATTACACTATGTACTCCCGGGAGAACATAGTGTAAGCTCATGTTGTAGGAGAGAAGTTATCTCATGTTGTGAGATAAATTAAGTGGAGCCCACCAATTTAAAAAAAAAAGAAAAGAAAAGAGATGCACGTCTTTTTATGTGAGTGCAAAATGAGAGAGTAATCTTATGCAACATAAAAGTATAATTTTCCATACACACACACTCACATATATATATATATATAATATAGAGGTAGGATCCTTTGACACCAGTGTCAAATTTTAAGTTTGACACTTCATCTGAGAGCCGTCAGATCAAAAAAGATCAATGACTCTGATTTGTAAGCATGTGACACCATTGATTCTTTTTATCTAACGGCTCTCAGACGAGGCGTCAAATGATCCTACCGTATATATATATATATATATATATATATATATATATATATAGGTAGGATCTTTTGACATCAGTGTCAAATTTGAAATTTGACACCTCATATGAGAGTTGTTAGATAAAAAAAGATCAACCATGTCACATGTTTACAAATCAGAGTGATAGATATTTTTTGATCTAATGACTCTCAGATGAGGTGTCAAATTTTAAATTTGACACTGGTGTCAAAAGATCCTACCTCATATTTATTTAAATATATATGAGATTATATTTTCTTATGCAATAGGAAATATGATATCTCATGCTGTACTCATAAACTTATGTGGGTCTCATTGTACAAGTAAAGAGAAAAAAAAAGTGGACCCCATCCCTTTTTGAGTGTATAGAAAAAATTTGTTGTCTCCTATCACATTAGGCTAATATTTCCGTATATATATATATATATATATATATATATATATATATATATATATATATATATTACTCTCCTTTCACACAAGATAACTTTTCTCATGTTCTTTCACTTCGGTTTTCGCACCCTAATTTTTTTTTCTTTTTTTTTGTAATGGTGGAACCCATCCATTTTTTCTCTACAACATAAGATAACTATTTTATGTGGAAGGAGACTAATAAAACTCATATACATATATATATATATATATATATATATATATAGATATTTATATAGGGGCAGGTTATATTTACAAATTTTTTTATTTATAAATTCTTACAAACTACACTAAGTACGACCGGTCATACTTTAATCATGCAGTGTACGACCGGTCGTACTTAGTGTAATTTAAAAAAAAAGTTTGTAAACGGATCCTTTCCCATATATGGGACAAGATATTCTTACACCGGTGTAAGAGTTAGAAGTCTTACACTCAATCTTGACCATTGATCCACTTGTATCTAATGACTCACATTACTAAAAAAGTAGAGCCTTTAGATATAAGTGGGATCAACTGATAAGATTGAGAGTGTAACTTACACTGGTGTAAAATGATCCTGACCCCCTATATATATATATATATATATATATATATATATATATATATATATATATATATATAGGGATAAGAAGAACTTACACCGGTGTAAGAATAATAAATCTTACACCAAATCTTAACCGTTGATTTTCGTGCATCTAACGGTTAAGATTTATTGGGAATTAAAAATTAATTAATGAGTGAAACTTAATAAATCTTAACCGTTAGATGCAAAAAATCAATAGTTAAGATCTGGTATAAGACTTATTATTCTTACACTGGTACAAAGTGATCCTACTATATATATATATATATATATATATATATATATTAGTTTTGTGCCGCCGACGTGTTTCAAAACATGTTATAACATCTAACAGGTTTGAAAATTCAAAGGAATCCTTCTCCGCCACGAGTATCAACCTCCATGCACAGCTTTATCTAGGTTTTAAAAAAATTAAGTATTTGACTACTATATTTTCCCTCCTTTTGAATAGAAAATCGAAGTAGGGGATCGATTCTCTCTATTTTCATTATAATATTTTTGTTGAATAAAATTCTCCTAAAATGAGCTCATTAGTAAAATAAATAAGTTAAGGTATATTTATTTTTAATTTAATTGAAGTATATGATAACTCATGTAAATTTAAATGTAATTATATTTTATTTTATTTTATTTCAAAATAGATATTTTTTTATAGTTTTTTTATTAATTTTTTTCCTAATTTTGTCGGCCAAAGCATGTTCCATTATTTATTTCATATTTGTCGGCTATGCGTGTCATGATTTCAGACCAAATTATTCTGAGTTGTTATTGACTTTTAGGAGCAATTACGTCCATGAGAAAAATTGATAATGAACAGCCACAACACAAAGTGAAAGAAAAAGAAAATTCACAAATGATCTGGTATTGTTGATACGGTGACCTTTGAACTACCTTTGCTTTTCATAATATTCACGGGTTCTCTTAGAATTTCTAAAACCACTTGTCAAGTATAGAAACCTTATTTTATCTGAGAATTTACAGTATAATAATTCAATAATAGTAGTTAATTAAAATGAAAGAAATATAATAAACTAATTTTTTTATCATCATTGATTACGTTTAAACTTTAATGTATTACAAACTTATAATTGATTTATAAAATTATTCACATGCTTTCTATTTATATTACAAACTTATAACTATTTTGTCTTTCACTTTACGTTATAATTATTTATTATTTTTATAAAATAAGGTTAAATAGAATATTATTCAAAATAATTTTGAATAAATAAGACTGATATAACTTAGCATATAGCATTAAGTTAAATGGATAATCATTTTCTAAATAGACGGAATAGGTAATAATATCTTTATTACTCTTGACGAACTCCCGAATTTGAACTTTGGTACAAAGTGATATCTTTTTATTTTTTTTATAACTAGATAAAGTGATGGGTGAATGGTGACGGATAATCATTTTCTAAATAGACGGCATATATTCGTCTATTAACAAAACGACAAGTTGAAGGTATATATATATACCGGAAAACAGTTTCTCTTCCTTAGGAGTTGTTTTTTTATGTCAGAGAGAGTTCATTTTACGTGTAATATTTTTTTATTTTTTGTTTATGGTGGGATCCATTAAAATTATGTGTGTGTAGGAGATTTTCTAACCTCATGTTAAATAAGAGATGTAAAGTCCATATAAATATATATTAAATAGATACGAACAACCATTGTTGCCAAAAACTAGTGTAAAAACTTAAGTTTTTACTAGTGGTGCGTGTTAAAACGCAAGTAAAAATGGTTCTTGATAAAAACGCTGTGTTACCGTTTTGACCGTTTTTAATTAAAACAATTTTTTTTTTAAAAAAAAAGATTTACAAAAAAAGAAATTAAAAAAAACTCAATTTTCGTTTTCTTCAAATCATATGCACATATCTTCGTATCTTTTTGTTTGGATATATGTCTTTTATAATTATGTCTTATAAAACTGCAATTCTATTATAAGTTATGCTATGAGAATTGTTTTGTGTTTTTGAATCAGTGTGTGCATTGAAAGAAGTGAAATTATATCCTGATAAGCGATGATCCAAAATTGCAGAGTGTATGAAACAGTTAGAACAAATTGGTCATCCATTACTTGTTAGTTATCACTGTTTATAATTTTGATATTTAGTTATCAAAAATAATTTTCTTTTTTAGATAGATAAGTAGCTCAACACACATCTTTATTATGTGATATTTTTTTTACATGTATATATATAATTTTATATATTGATCTTAAGTAGTATAATGTAGAAACTTTACGTTTCGTGTCATTTTTACGTTTTATGTTTCTACCACCCCTTTCTGTTTCTACGTAAAAACTCGATTTTGACAACATTGCGAACAAGTTGTAATTTTGTTTCAATTAGTCCCTATACACCACCCGTTGTAATAATAAGTCGTTGTGTTAACTTGGTATTAACTTTCTATCGACCACCAAGTACTTGAATCAAGTTGTGCTGATTTCGAATTTAAATTCTGGATACATAATCCATAAACTGGTGGAGAAATCTCCAAAATTCTTTTTTCTGGTGAATAAATCTTAACTGTTTTATTCTTATTAAATTTAAATCATTAATTCATACTTTAAATTAAAAAAAATCATATTCTCAAGAAAATAAGACAAAATCTCCGGGGTTTTTTTTAATCTTTTCTCTCTCTTAATTTTAAGATATTTAAAAAATAACATAACAATTTTTAAATAAAAATTTAAATTTAATAAGAATGTATAGTTAAGATTAATTCACCGTTAATAGATTAACTCCATGTTAACAAAAGAACTAACTGTATCAATAAATAAAATTTAGGGACTAATTAGAATGGATTTAAAATTTAAGATAAATATTCTTTTAGAAAAAAAATAAATTTTAAGATAGCTCTATACACTTTTTCCTATTCAAAAGGGCAGTAATTTAACCATTTAAAAAAAAAAACTTTAAAATGGCATTGTATTAGTCATTTCTTTGGATTAATTTTTTTTTACCAGTTTTTAATAATTTTCCATCAATTCTTTGGACAATTGGTTTTATGGACTGCACTAATGTATCAATTATTTGAGTAGAATTGGTCGATTCGTTCCTTTTTTTTCATCATTGGGGAAAATGTCAAACCAAGGACTAAAACTGAAACAAGAGATGAAGTTATAAAATAAAATATTTAATGAGTATCACCTTATATATAATATTACAAATATTATAAAATTGAGATATAATAATAGGGGAATACTTTTCTCCTTTAATAGGAGAGAAGAGTTGTCTCTCACTGAGACAAAAAAGTAGGACCAGCAATTTAACAAAAAAAGTAAAAACAAAAATAAAAACTTGACACGGAAGTTGATGTATGTGTAGGAATGAAATATTGTCTCATGTGAAAGGAGAAAAACATTTCCCATAATAATAACCAACGGATATAAAACGAGACACATAAAATAGTACAGTACAAGAGCCTTTTATTAGCCTTCAAACACCTAAGAATTTCTCTGACTAATCAAGGACTAAAACTGAAGCATAAGATGAAGTTACGTAATGTGTTGGTAACTGAAAACCAAAGAAAATGACTGGAAATATAATGAATGAAAAGCGATGTGAAATGCAAATCAAGCAGGAAAACAATTGAAGAAAGGAAAAAGTTGAAGGGGAGAGACAGAGAGTGGCCAGCTAGCATGAAATTGAATCATATATAAAGTAGTTTATATACGGGGTAGCACGATTCCATTAAATTAAAAAAATAGTGCCTGTCATAGTCTAAAAGAAAATAATCAGGTTCTACTTCTACCCCCATAACTAGTCATAATCAAAATATATCACCACTATACAAGGAACCAAATTCCCCACTTTTTTTTTTCCCACTTTGGACCACGAAGAAAACAAAAACGGGTTTGCTTCAAATGCTTGTGGATGATTAGTAAAAACTACGTGAATAACCAACCTGTAGTGGCAAAATCTCATCCACACATCAAACCCCACAAGTTGCTCCTATTCTAGTAGTGGCACTGTACCTTTAGACCCTGAAGGCTAAACAGAAGGTTAGAGCAAGGGGCAATAGCAACTTGATGTTGGTGCCTTTCAAATTAGCTATTCCAGCTCCATTGTCAATGTTGGTGCCCCCAGTACCAGTTGCAGCTGTTGGACTTATTCCAAACACATTAGGACTACCCACGGTTGTGCCGGTTCCGGTTCCTGTGCCTGGAGTTGTACCGGTTGACGGTGTTGTGCCTGGTGAACCGGTTGATGGTGTTGTGCCTGGTGAACCGGTTGATGGTGTTGTTGTATTGCCTGTTCCTGCATTGCTGCATTAGAGGCAAAATAACATGATCATTATAGACCTTGAAGTAATATAAGAAGCATGAGTAATCCATTTCATTAAATATTATATATGAGCATAGATCTAGCATCAAACATCTTGGGTGAAGAGGACAGAAATAACTGTGAAACTTCCAATTCAGGGAGGTGACTAGATTAAAAAAAAAAAAAAAGGGTTTTGGCTAATGTATAGAATAAACTAGATTAAGAGCTACATTTGCCAGGGTTGAAATAATAATAATAATAAAAACCCAGTTTTTAAATGACTTTTTAGATGATACTAACTTCAAAATAAACATGACAAAAATCGGGTATAAAGCTAAAACTAACTCTTATGGTTCGTGATTTGATATGTAATCAATTAAGATTTGAATTGAGAATATAATTTCCTGTTTCCATAACTAGTGTTTGTAAATCTTAGATAGATAGAATGTGGTTGCTAAGATTTTAATCACTAATTATCACTCACTAATCATGAAAACAGGAAATTACAATCACTGGTATTAAGAAACATATAAATCAAATTCTAATTAATTAGAAATCAAATCACGAAACATAAGACTAACAGAACAGATTAGAAACTTGAGAAACAGAGTTCAAGAATAGAAAAACCGAGTGAAATCAACTTTACATCTGTAATCGGAAACAGAGTGGAAACACCCAACAGCTATTGCAACATAACTTTTTTGCAAGAATGTAATTCAGACTGTCGGATTCAGGGAGGTGAGGTGACTACATGAACCAAAAAATTGATTTTTTGGTTAATGTATAAAATGAACTAGTTTCAGAGCTACATTTGCCAGTGTTGAAAAAAAGAAGAAAAAAACAGTTTTGAAATGCCTTTTAGATGATAGGGTATAATGATAAAACTAAACAATGCCTCCAATCATCCAGGGGAAAACTGAAAACTTGAAAAAAAAAAAAAAAACTTAGAAAAATAGTGGAATTTTCCACAAGATTCCCACTTCACACACAATAGACCCAAAGTTCCTTGAATTTCATAGAACTTGCCCAATTCACTGTATAAATATTTTTTTTTAAAATAAAAATAAAGAAAAAGATCCATGATCAAGAAACATACCTAGGACTTGAGGGGTAAACACATCCAGATGATGTAGCTGTAGAAAAAAAAAAAAGACACAGACAGAAGGAAGAGAAGAATATTAGTAAAAGTAAATGGCGAAAAATGGGTGTTGAATTGGAGGGTATATAGGATAGGATACTTACAAGGTGGTGTTGGACTGGTTGTGGCAGCACCAGAAAAATCACAGCTACCTTGAACATTACCTTTTTTCTGGTAATAGCTATTAACCGCATAGTTACAGTGATCCTTCACAGTGTTTGGTTGGTAACAAGCTCCGTTTTGGATAATAGGACTACAATCAGCTCCATTTCCACAAGCATAATCTATTGCTTTCTGAAGGACTTGATCACCCACACCATCTTTGCATATACAGTAAAGGGCACCTATTATAGAAAATTTAGAAGAAAAAAAAAGAGAGAGTTAGTTCACACCAAAATCCTATCTTTTCTTAGAATAAAATAAGAAACATGTAATTATCCCAGTTCCTTTTTGTTTTTCTTTTAAAAAAAGGGGGGCAACATCACGGGAAAAATATAATTCAGAATTTTCTTTAGCACATAAAATTCTTATCTCAAGTCTCGACCATAATTGTGGTTTATGCAGAACAGCAGAGAAGACACCTTACTGAAAACCCAGAATTAAAACAAGAAAAAAATTGAACTTTGCAACTGATCATAAGAACCCACCTCAGAGAAAATAAAAAAGTATGAGATATCATAATTAAAAAAAAAAAAATTTTTTTTTTTTTTAACCAGATGTTGAAACTTGAAACACAAACAAATCCACCAGGTGCTTACTTGAATGGGCAGTAAGGGCCAGGAAAAGCACAAAATACACCAAAACAGCCATGATAAGAGAAATTTATTTGATGTAAATTGGATGAACTTGATGGGGGCTAAGGCAGAGAAAAAGAAAGATAGATGAAGAGAAGAAGAGGTTTAAAGAATGGATGTTTTCTGTATTAAAAAGGGTTCCTTTGATGATTGGGGTTGTCTCTGTCTGATTATGATACCTTGTAAATCCTCAGTGCAACAGGTGCATCCTTATAAAAAGAGAAAAAAAATAAGGATACGACAGAAAATAATTATAAAGGTAAAAGTAGTATGAATATAATATTTTTTCAGATTTGATAAAAAATATATAAAATGATCGGTACATACTAAAAATATTTTTCATTTTGAGATACTTATGAATATTACGTCATGTATGATAGCATTATTAAATATAGAATATAAACACCAACAGAGGGGTGTGTTTCTGGGGGAACGGTACATATACTACAGCCTAAGCTTTTTGTAATACTAAATTAAACGACAACTTTCTCTTTGTGGCATTTTCAAATACACGTGTGATAAAAAAAGTTAACTCCATGTTATATAGGTTGGCAATTTGGAGGGATAATGGTAATTGACCATTGCCATGTGCGTGCGATACTTATATTCATGTATAGCAGTAGTTGAGTCTTGTATATTTATAATCTTACATGACATGACTACGTATCAAGGAAATATTTTTTTATTTTTTTTGTTTATCTTTTAATATTTTATAAATTAGTGTAAGTTTATCATAATTAATTTTTTAAAAAATTTTAAAATAAAAAACAATTATTTTCTCAAAAATAATTTGAAAGAAACATTCATTTGATAATTTTATAATCGTTCTTTCTCTATTTGTTTAGGTAACATTATCATGTAAATTGCTTGTCTTCAGTTTTAACGGTATTTTCACTTGTTATTGTTTGTTTCAACCTTTCAAGTCTTTTCTTTTCATCTGTTCAACCTTCAAATCCTTAAAATTGCTCTTATAAGAATATAATGTGGAATTGAGTTATAAATTAACATGTAATTATAAATTATTATAATTGTGAAATTTTATTAGGCTTAAAAAGGAAAAAATTATTATAATATTTAGAAGGTATCATATAATATTAAAATTTATATCCTAAAATAATTTAGAGTATCATACAAATTTTTAGAATTATTTTCTTTATTTTAGAATCTCTATTTGTAAATAGAGATTAGTATTATACCTTTTGTATCATATCAACCACATCAATATGCTATAATACTATTTTATCTATTATTTGTTTTAGGTAAAAATCTATTATTCTTTTCATCTTTAGTTCCACCTTACCAAAATCACAATAATATTTATATATATTGGCTACAATTATTACTTTCAGGGAGATTTTGTCGGTGATAGCTTTTTTTTTTTGGTTAGCATATTAAACAATATTTTTTTCTCCTATTTAAAATGAAGTTGTCCTTTTTTTGGAAGGCAAAGTAAAATATAAAAAAAATGTCAATTAGCTATGTTTATAAACAGCTTTAAGAATTTGAGATCAATCACATTCATCCATCCATCTCTTTTCTTGATGTGCCTGAGTAAAAAAAAATTTAGACTTTTAAATTCAATCTCAATTATATAAAAATAATAATTAAACAATTAAATATATATATCCAAATATAAATAAACAATTATTTATTTTTTACCCAACATCTTAATGTATTCTTGCATAATTATTTATTAATATTTGGACGGCTAAAATCTTTCCGCATAATATTATGTCACAAGATATAATTTATTTTTGAATATAGATAAATACAAATTAATTTATGCAGGTAACAAATATATGTGACGAGAAATGGTCCAAAATGGCTCACATTTTCCTGGACCAACAATTAGGTAAGTTAACTAAAATGAATTAAATTATTGTGAGGCCGGCACTTGAACCTACCTTCAATAATTTCTGCTGTGTCTAGGGCATAACTAACCCTTCTATTTGCAATTTAGAGTTGGCTTTTGGATACATGATAGTCCAATCAAACGCTTCCTAGTTAACAAAGTCCTTACCACAGGGGACAAAAACATGCATATATAATATATAAGGGATATCATTATCTCCTTCTACATGAGATAAGAATTTTTTCCTACACAAATTCGTTTTTCGTGCCAATTAATTTTTCTTTTCTTTTTTAATTTAAAATGTGGGACCCACATTTAACTTATCTCTACTTTTTTTCTCTCCTACTATCCTACAACATAAGAAAATATGCACCCAATATATAATATGGGGAATATATTTTTTGTGAGAAATTTTATAACAATACATAAAAAATGATTTTTTTTTTTTTAAATGTCAAGATCTACAGTATAAATATATTTGCTCTAAAATATTTCATTTGCTGTCGCTTTAAAAGTGAGAAAGCCATATAATATAGTCATATAGACCGTAATATGTTTTTCTTAATAGAAAAAATGATATGCTATAAATATTCCAATATCATTTGGGAAATTTGCAGAATATTTTTTACTCTGTTATAAGATTAAGGAATTTTACTTTTTATTTCAATTATTTATTTCTCTTTATATGACATTATTTGATATTAATAATTAATTAAAAAAATAACTCAATAAATTATAATCTTTAACTGATTAGAAATCAACGATTGGAATTAAAAGTTTTCTTAATCTTACACATAGATCGAAAACTTCTCTGTTTTTAATATGTATAAAAATGCAACTGGTTATTTGGGATATGAAATTAGGGCAACTAATCCACAAATATGATATCAGATCTTTGAATTAGTTACTAACCACAACAGGAACAAGAAAGAATAACATAAAATTTGTACACCGCTCACAATGTTTGATGAAATGTCACTTCTTTTAGTTCTTTACTATAACGACTTTTATTCTTTTGGTTGGGATATCATAGATTTTTTCTACCAAAGAAAATATGTTGATTAAATTTTTATTATTAGTTTCAAGAGGGATTTTTTTATTTGAGGGTGGGGTTGGGAGATACATACACTTGTTGTGTGGTATGTGCAATGAATTATGATCGTAGTTCTGAACAAAGTTAGGTAAATGTTTAAATCGTGTTAATCATAATGACACATAAACTATAATTTATAAAATTAAGAGATATAATGATCAACGATAACTTAAAATATATTATATAAAAATATTTATATAATAAATTAATTAATAATTCTCTCATTTCATGTATAGATGTAAGGTGAGCTCTAATTCGTCAAACTACCAATTAAATTCCTCCAACTAGCCTAGCAATAGGTTAAGTATTAATTTCCAATGCCACGCCCCATTCTGAGAAAACAAAACAAAACTAGTTAGTCAGTGTTAAGTTATAGGCATGGCACTATATATCTTTTAGTTCACTGTGCCGATTATAACCAGTAATTTAATGAGAAAATTGATTTTTTTTCTTAGTAAGAACACATAAATAAAATATGGTAAAGGACCTCAAAAGGAATAAAGAAGAAACTATATATCTTGGTTGAGCCTTTAAAAGTTTTTAATTTTTTATTATAGAAAAACTATGAATTATTGCTCGGAATATTGTGCTTGCTTTTTAATCACTCTAATGTATGTGTCTCAAAAGTGCCTAATTGTGATTTCGACAATTCATCAGGGGAACAATAGAGAATAATTGGACAAGAGTTTCAAAAGGTATATGATGGAGGGTTCACCCTCCAAGTCCATCCATTTAAAAATTGAACCTCCTTTTGCTGAGTTGAACACGTAAGAAACAAAAGTTGCTATTTTTCTAATCTTCTTTAATTTTTTTTCTAAATTTGAACAACTCTACTGGAAAGGTTTTGACATCATTAAAGATTAGTGTAGTTACTTAAATTTGATTCAAGAAGTAACGGTTAAATATGATTTGATGAAATTTTTTAAGTAAAACAAGTAACCAAAAATAAATCAATTAATTAAATTAAGAAGGCATATGACACGTAGTGAGATAGTGAAGATTAGTTTAACTGATGATATACGTACATAAATAAGAAGACATTGTTTAAAAACACCACCCCATCCGAGGATCAACCCTCATTTTTTGAGGGTTGGAGTCAAAAGTTAGACTCCGCATGCACATTGATTTAACTGACTCCAGAATCTCTCGGTTGAACCTGTGACTCCTGGTCAAAAGGGGTCGCTGTAATTTTTTTTAAAAAAAACTACATACGAAAATACATCAATATGTAAAATAAAAAAATAACTAGTTGCTGCCTAGATCTAGAACAAGATCTGAAATCTAAATCGTTCTTCTTTTTCTCTTCCGATCTTCTCTCCCAGACTCAGACTCAGTTTTCCTGATCCGGTGATCTCCTCCGTCGTGATTGTGGCTCCTCCTATCATCTTTGGTCTTCTCTCTCCCTTTCCTTTGTTGTGCTAGATCTTCTTTCCCCACCTTGATTCGTCGCGTCGCCATGTCTCCTCCCCCATTCTCACTTGGGTAAGTGATCTCCTCTCACATGTTGTAGGTGCATGAGAAGGACAAGGAAGGCCTGAATTTGATGATGTAACTTTTCATTAACTCTATTGGAATATGTGCTTTATACTTTGATTATCTTGTGTAATATTGACTTGTGAATATAATTGGTTGAATTATGTTAAGTATATTTTGAATCTTTAATGATTGGTGGTTTGATTTTTTTGAATTTTTCATATAGGATATATATTTATATTTTTTAAATATATAAATCCGAGTCAGTGAAATGACCCAGTGATCCCTCAGTTGAATCCATTACCCTTGACCTCGGTTGAGTTTTTAAACATTGCTTGAAAGACTCAATTTTTAGTAGGGTAGGCGAACTCAATTGTAAGTTGAGTTAAAATTCCAACTTAATGTACCAAAAAAAAAAAAAAAAAAACATTCCAACTTATTCTCAACTCGAACCATTTGATAAACTTGAAATTTTCTTTTCTATTTAAAATGAAGACGTTTAGATTGGGTTTGAACTTTGAAAGCCTTTTCCTCTCCTATTTTCTCATGGATAAGATTTTCTAGGAGGTATTTGGTAGAGGAGAATTTTTTTTTTTGTCCAGGAATCTCGATTTTTAAAAATATAATTTTTACATTCAGTTTACGATAATATTAGAAGATTTAAAAACTAAAGTGCAATGTTGGTAACTAAAAACTAAAAATAAAAGTAACGGTTTATAAAAGAATTTTTTAATAAGATTTTCATTTATATGGTTTTTTTTCATATTAGGATTAAAATCTTTTATCCTCCTTTTATTTTTTTTCTTTCCTTATTCCTCAAATTGATTTTCATTTAGTTAAAAAAGAATATTTTTCTTTCTCTTAATTGACAATAATTTCTAAAGTCAACTTTTTTTATAGGTTGTCAATATTGAATTGAGGAGATAGGAAAGGGGATATATACATATAGGGAGGTGTAAGAATAATAAATCTTACATCAAATCTTAACCGTTGATTTCCGTGCATCCAATGGTTGAGATTTATTGGGAATTAAAAATTAATTAATGAGTGAGACCTAATAAATCTTAACCGTCAGATGTAGAAAATCAATGATTAGGATTTGGTGTAAGATTTATTATTCTTACACCGGTGTAAGATGATCTTGCCCCATATATATATTATAGTTGGAAATATGAAAAGATTTTAATACATGAGTTTCGGTTTGTATATAAAGGTACAGAGACCAATGTCCCATGCCAGATATGTAAATAAAATAAGTTCACAGCTGGTTATGAACATTGCATGGTATTCAACCTCGGTTGAGAACAAAGAAATAGCGTGTTTTTTTTTTTTTTTTTTTTTTGTGAGATAAGGTCGGATTTAAGTAGCATGCCATAACGGGTTGTGGATCGACGGGTCATTAGACAGCCTGCTTAGTCCATTTGTATATCTTGGTCCGTGATTGATTTGAGATATCACATTAAGTGGCGAGTAAAATTGAGATTAATTGTGTATCCAAAAAATAAAAATAATAATTGAGATTAATTGTTGTGGTGCATGCATGAATTGATTTAAAATGTTCACAACATATATTATGTCCGGGCGAGTTATAGTGAGATATATGAGTCATATAATTAGCTAACGATAATTTGATGGATTAGCTAGGAGATCATCATATTTGTTAGGCTTTAAATTGAGTTCCATGGGAGTTTTAACCGGATGTGTGATGGATCGAGCGTTTATACCACTATGTCAAAAGCTACAAGCACAACTTTTTTTTTTTGTTTACCCTTCCTAGTCCAAATGAGTAAATCACCAACACGAGTAAATTTTTGGTGCAACAGGAGTAGGTATACCTTTATCAAAAAAGAAAAAAATAGAAATATGAAAGGAAATAACTATAAAGATAAGAATAGTATAAATATTACTTTTTTATCATATTTGATAAAGGATATACCGAATAGTCAGTATATCTGAAGTACTGAAAATATTTTCCACCAACCGAGAAATCAAGATCACAGGAAATTGCAACCTATAAACTAACTATAAATTTGAGCTGTAAGAAGGTATGGAGGTTAGTCATAATACTGGACCAAACTCTTAAACCAGTAATTACTAAATTTTTATGCTAAACAACATCCTTGCTGAACCGTTGTCTGCCGCCTATTGCAGAGGAAACAATCGTTTTGGAAAGAATCAATTCAGAAGTAATCAACGAAAAAAAGAGATGCTTTTAGGTATATGTAAATTGTACATTGCTTCAATTGACCAGTTTACTTAAAATTTATAAAGCAATAGCAAGAAAAGCTTTGGTAATTAAAAAAAAAAAAAAGAGCCGCAGATCGAACTTTTCTAGCACTGGTTGGATGTAACAAGAGTACAATTATTATTAAGTGGCCACTACATGCATTGTCAGGTCCCATATGAACTGCAAGGAAAGACTGAAAAATCGTCTCTTTGCAGAGAACATTAGATGACTGAGTCTGACTACCGCGTCCAGGGTTAGAGGTACCCTATTAATGCTGTACATAAAAAGAAAAAAAATTGTCAACAGAAATGTTTGCACGTTGTTTTCTGTCTCAAAGAGCATGGGAACCATTGGATATGGAAAAAACGTGGTAGATAGAAAGAAATGAATACTTGTCACGAGATATTGTGAAATTGTATCTAATATTAATGTCAAAATTGTTGAGCTAGAAAATCGTGAAGGATTTTTGACCGAAAAAGAAAATTACTAGGTATTGATTGAAACATTGACTAACAGACCATTCAACATAAGCCACTCAATTCTCAAATGAGTAAGTGACACCCCCTATTTTTTTTTTTAAATCAACACCTCGTTGTTGCATCATTACATTTATCTTTGGATTCTAACGCATACTCAAATAAAATGTGCAGTTATACGCAAAAATTATGATTCACATACCTCAGGTTCAGCAGGTTTGGTTTCTTCTGTTTTGATTTCTTCACCTGCATGAGAGCATTTATTTTTTTACAAACTAAAATAACAAGAAGCTTGATTGCAAATAACTATAGCTATAGAGAAAAGATGAAATCCAAGGGCAAGCAACTTTTTCCTTTATATTCGTCCTAATTTGATTTTCTTTCAAGGTTTAGGAGGGAAGTGTTGAGGTGACACTGCATATCAAGCAGTTCTTCTATCGGTTTTGGGCATCATTATTCATCAAAAAACATGTTAAGGTATTTACCAGGCCCAACCCAAATGCATCTTATATCATCGAGTCTCAGTCATAACCATACCTCCATCCTCAGGCAAATCAGAGGTCCAGAGAGTCAGGTTGTCTCTCAACAACTGCATGATCAAAGTGCTGTCCTTGTATGACTCTTCACTTAAGGTGTCTAGCTCAGCTATTGCCTCATCGAAAGCTTGTTTAGCCAAATGACAAGCCCTGTAAGTTTCATTAAGACGAGAGCCAGAAACATAAGCAATTCATTGGACCTATGCCAATTATAAGTGTTTGAATCATGAACCAATTCTTTCAAAAAGCTTAAGCTATTAACTAGAGACAGGAATGGTTTTATATTATAAGCCTAACTACTTTGTGCTCAAATTTTTATTAAAAAAATGGAGACGCAATGATAGAACTCTAAACCACTTAATCATATATGTCCTGATACAATATCATTAACCAAATATTTCACATGGTTTTATGTTACATCTCTAACTAGTGTGTGGATGTGATGATAAAGTACAATTTGATGAAATTAGAAGAACAATGATGCTTTATAAACTTGGAAGATCAAACCTAATCAGTCCAAGGTGTAAATTACACTTTTAGTCATTCCATGCCAAGCCAAATACTCCTTCAAGCTCAAATGCCAACAGAGTATCAATAACTTACCTTTCAGGGGAGTTCATTATCTCATAATAAAAGACAGAGAAGTTGAGTGCAAGTCCAAGCCGGATTGGGTGTGTTGATGGAAGATCTGTGCTTGCAGCGGCTGAAGCAGCCTAATAATAGATACAGTTTTGTACATCAAATAACAGCATCATATATAGATAAACATAATAGATTATATTTGAATTAGTTCAGTGCTGAAATGAGAGAGATCATGCACTAACTTCATATCCTTTTAGTGACTGCTCAGCTGCTTCCTTCCTTTCTTGGTCGGACTTGAACTCAGCAAGATATCGAAAATAGTCACCTTTCCTGGATCCAAAAGAAGCTGAAGGAAATCAAATAGAGAACCAAAGCCTATGAAAACAAGGAAGAGACATCATGCTACAAGACACAATCATTTTTGTGAAAACAACATGAATAGTGTTGTGTAACCTTTTATTTCTCAAAACAAGTAATAAATTGAAAACAAATAAACCCCACGATAAACTATGGTATGGTTCATAAACTGTTTCGTGTGTATTGAGTTTGTACTATTCGGCATTTCTGTATCAGATAAGGAAGATTTTCTGAGAATATAAACACACAAAAGGCAATAACTAATAAATTGACAGACCCCAAAGTTATTTAGTGGAACTTACACAAAATTTAGTCAATAATAAAAAGTGTATTAAAAAAAGGTGTGCTAAATAGCATGTTAGCATTTTTAAAAGGATTAATAATCGATGAATGTCATTGTTAGAAATTCTTCCCTTCCATCGTATCTGTCATATTATATTCCATAATGGAAATGATATCTATTCAAGGGAAGCAAATATTCAAAAAGCAGATGACCCTAAAAGTAATCAATTGAATAGAGAAGGAAAGGAATTGAATTAACTAGGAAAATGGCACTAGTGCAACAACATATGACTCACATCTTATAATAGAAAACAGTAGCTTCTCCTGATGAGGTGGAAGAAGGAATCAGATGCTGGTCAATAATTGTCAGAATGTCATTGCAAATTTTCGATAGTTCCTCTTCGACTTTTTGGCAGTAACTCTTGATCAGTTTCACATTGTTCTCATTTCCTTTAGACTCTTCCTTCTGTTCAATTGAAGACATAATGCGCCAAGAGGCTCGCCGTGCACCAATGACGTTTTTATATCCCACGGAGAGGAGGTTCCTCTCTTCCACAGTTAGCTCAAGATCAAGTTTTGCTACTGTCTTCATGCATTCAACCATTTCTACATAATATATACATCTTCGTTCAGAGGAATATCATCACACACATAAATAACATTATTCATCTCTTTATATCAACATTTTCCATCATGGCAATAACTCATTATCAATCTAACCATTCATTACGGTACGCAATTAATAATCAATCTCGCATAATGTAAATTCTCAGCATTAATCAGTCCTTCTTTGCCTAGTCACTAAATCAGACAACAGAACATCTTTTAACGTAATTCATATCCAAATAGAGATTTGGATTGCTAATTCTATTTGAACAAATTAAAATCGAAATCCAAAACAAGAGTAATATAAGGCAACAACAGAAGGACAATTAATTTGATGTGGTTGAATAGAGCATTAATGTTAAGATTCAAAGCACAATTAATGAAACAAAAAAATGGAAAAATAAAATAAAAATTAAGGCACCTACCTTCATATCTCTCGGCCTGCTCAGCAAGCTTGGCCATGTAAACCTGATTCTCTCTCTCCTTCTCAGTGGACATTGTTGTATCAGAGGAAGAAAAAAAAAAGAAGAAGGAAAAAAAGTGTTTTATGTAAATTGTGTAATTAATGTGTTTGTGAAAAAAGCAGAAGAAGAAGAATGCGAGGAAGAAGGGAAGGGAAGGGTGGAGTGGTTATATAGATGGAGCAACTTGTGGAGGGAGAAGGTAAGACTGAATCTGGACCGTTGGATGAGAGATTTTGAAAGAGGAAGCGCGCAAATCGGAAGGACTGCACTGCTTAATTAGTTATAAATGCAGTTCTACTCTTTCTTAATTAATTTTTTAATTGGATTTTTTTTTTTAATTTTTTTTTGTACAACATCCAATGATATAAATTACATCTAATCCCTTTGGTTTTGAAAAAAAAAAAAACTGCATAGGGGTGCAGTTCTTAATCTTTCCATTGACAGTTATTGAATTGTTTTCATTATTATTTATTTTTATATACGATGTCCTTTTTTTTTACAGTGAAGATTTGACCTCATATCCATGCATGTCGTTGTGGGATCCATGCATGATGCATATACCCACTTGAAAAATATATCGTATCAAGTATCAACAATTGTAAAAACATTTAAAAGGGTTAATATAATGACCCTAACTGGTAAATCTTAGTTAGAGATTTAATTTAAGGATTTAAATGCCATAATTAGATTCAGTGAGCGATTTCGAGTATTTTGACTGTAATCATGACTATGTTATGAACAGTGCGTTCTGCCGGAGAATTTACAGTTTTGTGAATTAACCGGTAGAGCTTAAAATGAGCAAAATAATTTTAGGAACATAATTTGAAAATTCTGATGACAAATATGAGTTCAGAACGAAAAATTGTATAGTATGGCACTTTCCGTGAAAATCTCGTGAATAGTGTTTCTACCGGGTATTTTGTACTGCTGTTTAAGCAACCGGTAGAGTCCAGAAATAAATAATTGATGAAATAAGAATAAGAAAGTCCAATATATGCCAAGCAAGTCAATATAGGCCCAAGAAAATGATAAGTTTATAAGTTTTAAGTTTCGTAAGTAAATGAAGTACAATTAGTGATGCACAGTGCATTTCGTCAAAAACGGTGCAAAAACCATACTGTGAATTATGAATATTGTTCCTTAGGAAATAAAAATTAATGTAAATGATTTTAGGAAATAAAAATATGTTTGTAGCTTTGAGTTAGTTCCGGGTCAGTCTAAGTGAAAATACGCGAAAGAAAAATATCTGTTAAAAGGTCACATGTGTTATAAAGCCTTGTCACTTTAAAGATCACCACTATTCACATAAGCTTTCCATTCTTCTCTTTCTTCCAAAACCGATCTGCACTTGGACAAGGGGGGGCTTAGGGTTTGGTTTTTCTTTCTTTGATTTCTACATCATCCATCCACCAAATCCAATGATCCACCACATGAAATTGATTGGAAACCACTCAATGAATCCATCCCACCCATTTATTTGAGCTATCATTGGTTGTGTGAGGAGATATTTCCTTCCCCAAATTCGTGCACTATTCATCAAGAGGGCAAAATGAAGTTTTTGATGGAGATTCTCTTGGTGTAGGTCTTCTAGGCTTTGGGTAGTTGATTTGAGGTAACAAACCTCTATTTACATGATGTTGTTTTGATAATTTAAGTTATAAAATTGTGTATATGCCTTGGGTGGGAAAGCATGATGTGTTAGAATATGCATTGATGAGGAATAGTTGATATTTTGATGTATGAAATGAAAAGAAGCTTTGTAAGTATGTAAAAAAATTAGAGAAAAATCATGTATTTCCTCTTTATGTTCGGCCTTTGATAGAGTTAATAGGATTTATTGTGCCAATTTAGTTGATGCTTTAAGAGGGGTTTTATTGGTTCAAGTAAGTAGAATTTGGATGAATTAGTAAGAATATTACATTGGAAAGAAAATCCTTGGAAACATACCTTGATGTTTCGGCCTTGATGTGTTGTGAAGGACTTGGTGTCTAAACTCAAAATAGGAACCTAGTGGATGCATGCCTAGGTGTTTGCAAGTTGTAAGGAAGTAAAGAAAATGTATCGTAAAAGAGATGGATCTTTGGAAATCCCCCTTATAGGATTCGACCTATAGGGTATTTAGGGATATATTTGTACATTTTATTTTAAATAAAATGTGTTGTAATAAATTGTATAAAGGTGATGAGTTTTGAAGAAAAATAGCATGATTTATGTTGAAAATTCCTAAGGGAATGGTTGATTAAATTAAAGAACACCAACGGTTATAAAGAGGTCTAGACTTGTGTATTGGCATAGCATTGACAAAAATATAAAGAAAGGAAGATAAGCGATAAAATGTATGCCTTATGGAAAATCTAGGCATGATAACATTTTATTGATTTTGGAATTGTGGATTCTTGCTCTAGGTGTACCTAGGGACAAAAAAGGATCGGAGTCTCTTGAAGACATATAAGTAACTTGTGCAACAAGTAAGTGTATTGGTAAAGCTTCAAGAGGTAAGCTCTATGTTTAAGGAGTCTTTTCCTGCTTGAGTGCTCCACCATGGTTAGTGAACTATGGTTGGACTGTATGACTGTTATTTAGATGCTTTGTATAGATGCATTCATATAGAGTTATTTGATAACATGATATGTTTTGCTCTGATATGACTTCTGTAATATGATTTCTGTAACAATCTCTGGCCATTGATTGTATAGTACCCGGATGTCCGCTTTGGGGTCCTCCCTCGGGACTGATGGTGTACGCCTCTGATATGTCTGGTTCCGCTTTGGGGTCCTCCCTCGGGAACACATGCGTTGATTTCCGCTTGGGGTCCTCCCTTGGGAATGACGGCGCACATCTCTGATATGATATGGATATATGCTCTGTTCTGTTATGATATCTGTTATATGTTGTATTTGTATACTCTGTATCTGACTTTCATGCAGGAGTGAGCCAGGGGTATGGAGAATTCTCTATAAACCTGGAGCTTATTGAGATTTGTAATCTCACCCCTCTTTGGGGACATATTTTCAGGTGCCCAGATTCCCGGTGAGTCCTCACTAGGCAGGGACACGACACGTGGCTGAGGCAGTTGACAGATTGGATTTGGAGTGGCTGTAGGCTACTACCTTTTTGGAGTGTTTGATGTATTTCAGTATTTTCGCATTTGATGGATCATGATATTGATCCTTTATTGTGTATATGGCCTGTATATGTTTTGTACATGTCTGTCGCTTTGATGCATGTACATTTGGGTATTCAGGCACGTTATATGATGAGGTAGTATTCAGATATGTTTACGTGTTGGATTGCATGCTGTTAGATATAGTGGCACTGAGCCAAGTTATGCATGCGCCCATGGATGGGCATTTGATTATATTTGTATAAACTGTTTATCAGGAAATGCTTCTGTGAGGGATTGGAAAATCCCTAGTTGTCCGATTTATAGAGGAAACTCTGCCCGATTTTCGTTTACGACGAATGAGAATTTAAAAAGAAAAAGAAAAAGTTAGCTCGTATTTTCAGAAGTTAAGTCTTCCGCTGTTTTCTGTTTTATCATATGTATGTTAATTGAACCGGCTCGAGACGGGGATGTTACATTTATGGTATCAGAGCAGTTTCTCTAGGAGAGCCTGTGAAATATTGCATGAACTGTTCGGGTTGTTATATTCTTGAGTTTTCTTGGAGTACTATGATATGCATGTCTGATCACCGAGTGTGAGCGTAGCTAACTCATTCCTTTGTGTGAAATATGCAGAATTATGGTTCGCCCAAGAAGGACTTCTGATCCTCCTATTGACCCGACCGATCCAATATTAGCAGATTTGGCAAGACCCCGACTTAACCAGCGGGGAAATACTTCACAGCCAGATCCAATGATAATGGCCTTAACTGAGATGCAACAAAATATGGCTGCAGCTAGGCAGCGAGAGCTTGAAGTGATGATGAAAGCAAATCAAGATCTGTTAGAGGCTAATAGGTTGGCCAATCAAGAAATGATGGCAGCAAGCAGAATGGCGAATATTGAAATGATGAGATTACTCTTGGTTGAGGTGAGGGCGGGTGGGCAAGGTCCACAGCCACAGCCTGAGCCACAACCACAACAGCCTGTTCCTCCTCCTCAAAATCCCATTGTTGTGGAGGGTGAAGGAAATCATGATGTGAATGAAGAATCTAGTCACAGGGGTGGTGTGACACAACCAGCCACTAATAGAGAGCAAAGAGAAAGAATGCTAAATGCCTTCCGAAAACATGCACCACCAAATTATAAAGGAGGCATTGATCCTATTGCTGCAATTCAGTGGTTAGAAGAATTGGACCGCATTTTTACTGTCATGGAGTGTTATGATCAGCAGAAATTGTTGTATGCTTCTTATATGTTGCAGAATGATGCAGCTGATTGGTGGAGAAATACCCGTCTGCCCTTGGAATGTCAGGGTTATGCTATTACCTGGCCTTTATTTGAAAGGCAATTCTTGCTGAAATACTTTCTGGCTGAAGCCCGGATAAGGAAGAAGGGTGAATTTGAAGAACTAAAGCAGGGTCAGATGTCTATTGATGAATACTTGAATAAGTTCAATAAGCTGGCCAAATACTCTCATTTCCAGAGAGCTCCACCTACAGAGGATGACTTGATTTTTAAATTTCATAGAGGATTACATGATAACATCTCTGAAAAACTTGCAGGTGACTCATTTGATACTTTTGCTGCACTTGTTAAAAAGTGTAAAAATATTCAAGAATATTACAGAAGGAAGCATAAGGACCAATCTGCTCCTAATTCTGGTCCTAAAAACACTTCTGGGAATTCTAAAGGAAAAAGGGTTGCAGGTTAGACAGTCTGATGGTAAGTTCAAAAAGGCGGGAAATTCTAAGCCTGGAAATATTAAGCCTGCTTCTCTATGTGCTACATGTGGTAAAGTTCATGCAGGGGTTTGCAGAAAAGAGCAAAGACTGTGTTACAAATGTGGCCAACCTGGGCATTTTATTAGGGTCTGCCCCTTTAATGGGGGACAGGTTTCTACTATTCAGGCCACTCCGGCTCCTATTGTG